AAGACAGGGTAATTGTGCATCATACATGGTAATCAGGGGTCATTTTTAATATTTAAATGACATCTGAGTTGGAGATTGAAATTTATAAAGAGCAGTGAGATCCCAGGAAAAAGGATGGGAAGCAACTTCTACTTTCAAATGCAATAAAACAGATGGGCCTCCCAGTCCAGACTTAAGCATTAAAATGTTTAAGATTTCTTATAATGCTAGAAGCCTACAGAGGGAAATTCTCTCTCTCTCTCTATCACACACACACACACACACACACACACACACACAGATATTTTGCATCGCAAACTTACAGGTCGTAAAGTTAATTCCAGAGGGCAATATCAGATTTTGTTTTTAAAAGCCTAGAGTGTCACCTTAGGATCTAGCACCTTGACTAAGCAATTAGATAATGATGGGGAAACACCATAACAATACTAAATGGAGGGAAATAATGATCCCAACCATGATAATCATTACCTTGAAATATCCTCAAACATTTTGCAGAGATGATCTAATTATTCCCTTGCACATCCCTCCTGGGAATGGTGTTATTATTTCCATCTTGAAGACAAATATAATATCCTCTTGATTTATAAGTGTCATTTCTTACGAGAAGCTTCATTATTTGTTTTCTTTTCATCTTCATAATATGAGACTTAGACACCCAAAATTAACTTTGTAGAGTTAGAGGCAGAATGATCTGTTTCTATGAGTGATTGATTAAAATCTAGTGTTTTCTAAACTGTTTTAATCATGCATGCATGATGTGAGCATAATAAGTCGCTTCCTTCATGCCCGACTCTTTGCAACACTATGGACTGTGGCCTGCCAAGTTCCTCTCTCCGTGGAACTCTCCAGGCAAGAATACTGGGATGGATTGCCATGCCCTTCACCAAGGGGTCTTCCTGACCCAGGAATCGAACCTGTATCTCTTATGTCTTCTGCATTGGCAGGTGGGTTCTTGACCATTCACACCACCTGGGAATCGTATCCCCTATAAAATCATAAAATCTTTACAAATATAGAAATTTTGAAGAATCAGATACGAAAATATAATTAAAAGGTCTAGTGCTTTTTCTGAGCTTTCCTAGGGTACATGCAGCACCACCCCACCCACCCCCCCACCCCACCCCCGCCCTGGAACTTTAGATTGAGAAATAGGGAGAAGAGGAGGTACAGAAAGAATTAACATGGTCCTCTTTTTCATGCTTCCCCCACCCCCCGCCAAATAAGACCTGACAACTGCAACTCTCTCAGTGAGTTTCATCTGAAACTCAAGTGGAGGGTAAGAGGGAAATGAGAAGAAAGGTGAAATGAAGTGGAACTAAAAGTCAAACCCATTTCACTTGCCTTCACTAATCAAGGTTATTTTACGATTTGCAAGTCCTTCAAATAGCTTAAACAATAGATGCTTGCCTAAGATGTTTTAGGCTGTGTCTAGTTGGAACTGAGCTGATTAAGACTGGATGGGACCACTGACCCTCCAATTGGGTATGCATGAGTGCCCACTCAGTGGCCTTTTGAACATTATGCCTGTGCAGAACCAAGATTACTGCATCTTTGTCCAATCACCTTTCCCCGTGCTCCCCATGTTCCAGACTACCTTCTTCTTTATTCATCATCCCGTAAATATGCAAACCCTCTGCATTCAAAAGGCAAATTTGAGATTTGTCCTCCTGTCTCCTCACTTGGCTGCCTTGGGAATAAACCTTCCCTTTACTGCCAACCTCAGCCTCTCAGTGGCTTGGCTTGCTGTTCTTAGGGCAAAATGAACCTGGTTCAGTAACAGTAGGAAAAAAAGAAGAAATGATAAGGAAACAAGAAAGGAGTAGGTAATCAAAACACTGAGTGGCTGTTCCTGCCTGTCAGTGCGATGATACAGGATGCTTCCAAAGGGGCTGTATAGTTTGCTAGGACTGCCATAACAAAACACCCTAGACTGTAGCTTACACAATAGAAATGTGTTTTCTCAGTTCTGGAGGATGAAGGTCCAAGGTCATGGTTTTGATAGGTTCAGCTTCTCCCGAAGCTTCTTTCCTTGACTTGGGAGAAGGAAGGGCTTCCTTCTTGCTGTGTCCTCACATGGTTGTTCCTCCATGAGCATGTGCCCTTGCTGTCTCCCTGTGTATCCCAGTTCCCCCTTACAAGGACACCAGTCAGACTGGTTTAGGGGTCACCCTAGCAGCCCATCTCTTTAAGCCCCTCTGTCCAAATACAGTCATATTCTTGGGTACTGGGAGCCAGGCTGAGTCTGGAGGAGACACAGTTCAGCCCATAACATGTGCTTTTACTTAAAAACATCTTCGGCTTTCAGGCAAGGGAGATATTAAAAATGCAATAATAACCATACAGCATAAGCACTGTTCAGATGATTATTAAAAGATAAACTGAGGCACATTAAAAGCTTTTAAGACTTTATTTGACCAAACATGGATTCACAAGAAGCAAGAAGATTGTCCGATTGGCTCTAGCTTAAGCAGTTGGCTTACTTGTGAAAGCTGGCTATTTGCGATTGGTGACTCATCAATTTCATTTTCTCCAATACTAGTGTAGGTATAGGAATTGCCTCTGGCTGAGGTTTTGGCTTGCTTACACCGATTCCTAACTAAGGCATTAGAGTCACCCTAGTGTAATAGCCAAATGGCCTCCTTGGTCACTTACTTTAACATGGTCATCCACACTTTCTCCCTCTAGTGAGTCTCACTTTTTTCCATCTGTTGCCGAGTCAAGCCCTAGTTAGTCTCCAAAGTTGATTCCATCCGTGTTCTGGGGGCTTCTTCCTGAGAGCTTACTCCAGACCTTCCAAAGCCTCAGACAGGGCTACTTTCTCTGTGGATGCCCAAAGTATGTCTGTGTCTGCATAATCATTTCTGACCTTGTGCTTACTGAAGAGTGACCCAATGCCTCTTTTCTCATCCTGTAAGATGACAGATGACAAATCCAGACACGCCTCGTGTTTTGTGAGAGCCACTTTTCTTTCAAAGCTCCTCTGCTTTGAGCTGCCTCAGATGGCCTCTCCACAGAGAGTCTCGTGAAGGGCACACACATTGGCCCCATGCTGGCAATCTCAGATCTTGCAGTCAGCTGGGAAGTGTGGCCACCCCACCTGCTGCCAGCTGCATTAGTTGGAAGGACAGTGGATCCCTGATGACAAGATTTTGGGAGGTGGTGGTGGTGAAATAAAGTCTCAAAGAGTTCTTTCCAAAGTGGCCACAAAACACAGAAATATTTATTAGCCCCTACTTCAGGAAGAGTTGACAGTCAAGAACAGTTGAAAATATGCGAATGGGGATTATATCCCTATGTTGTTGCTGTTCATTTGCTAAGTCATGTCTGACTCCTTATGACCCCATGGACTGAAGCACAGTAGGCTCTCCTGTCCTCCGCTATCTCCTGGAGTTTGCTCAAACTCATGTCCATTGAGTTGGTGATGCTACTGCTATTTCACAATATCACATTGTAAATGAAGTCTCTGTCTTAAAGCACTATTATTGATTTCCTGACTTCTTTAAAGAGTAACCCTGAATTTCTTGGTAGTATTATTTGATATTTGATTATAATGCATTGATAGTATCATGTGACATAATTGGCAAAATTCGTATGGGTGTATCCATTATATAATTAAGTACTTAAATTGAGTCAGTAGGAATCCAAACACACATTCATTTAACTTAGCCAGCTTATTGCATATGCTGGAGATGAGATCAAACACTAAAGACACAAAAGAACGCATTCCTGCCCTTGACAAGTTCACAGACACAATGGAGGAGCAAACGGGTACAATCTAGAGATGGGTTCTCAAACTGAGCATGTATGGGAATCACCTGGATGACTTGTTCAGATACCTCCCCCTTCACCCCCTCCCGCCTAGTTTTTGATTCAGGGGGCCAGGAATTTGCATTTCTAAAAAAAATTCTTGATGCTGCTGCCACTATTCTGGGACCACACTTTGAGAACCAGTGATCCAGTGTTACCAGTGTTGGGGGGCTATGGAAGCTTTGAGAAGTTCCCAGCATGGCTGGAGGGAGAGGGAGCGGGGGTTAGGGAGAGTTTCACAGAGGCAGTGATGTTTTAAAGAATAAAGGCGGGGGGGGGGGGGAGTTTAGGATTTGCCAAGCACTGTTGCTGCTGCTGCTGCTTCTGCTGTCGCTTCAGTCGTGTCTGGCTCTGCAACCCCACAGATGACAGCCCACCACGCTCCTCTGTCCCTGGGATTCTCCAGGCAAGAATACTGGAGTGGGTAGCCATTTCCTTCTCCAATGCATGCATGCATTTAAAGAAGCTTCAGTCATGTCCGACTCTGTGCAACCCTATGGACAGCAGCCCACCAGGCTCCTCTGTCCACAGGATTCTCTAGGCAAGAATACTGGAGTAGGTTGCCATTTCCTTCTCTCATGCCAAGCACATTTGGTTCTAAAGTATAAAACTAGGAGAAAGTACATTACATACAGTTTTTTTTTTTTAATGTGAATAATTCCATTTGGCTGGGATGAAGTTTGAGTTTGAAGTAGCTGCAGGAGATAAAGCTGGAGAAATATGCAGGGCTCAGAGGGCTCTATTAGAACATGGTCCTATATGAGATCATGTAGCCATGAATCCCCAAAGCCAGACTCCAAGCTGGAAAGAAAGATTCCTGGTAGAAGAATCGTCAGTTATCTTTCATTAAAAGAGACTTCTTTCCAAGCCTGGACATGACTTTCCTGGTTTTGGGGAGAAATCCTGTTCATTTCTATGAAATGACAACTCTCACTGGAGGTGACATGAAAGTAGAAAGTGTGTATTGTTTGCACATCACTGGAACTGGTTGGGGCTTAAGTTTTTGCTGTTGTTCCCTAAAGTATGTCCGTTCCTTAATAATTATTTGGTTGATTATGATTGGCTATTGGAAAACCCAGAGCTTCACCCACCTCTCAGGCAAGGGCTAAAAAGCCTGGGAAGGAGAGAGTGGGAGAGAAGGGAAGTTGAGAGCACAGGTTTTGATGGAATATCCTCCATCCCTTTCTCTCTAGGGGAAGATGACGATGATGACGAATGTGGGGAGGAGAAGCTGCCCTCCTGTTTTGACTACGTGATGCACTTTCTGACTGTGTTCTGGAAGGTCCTCTTCGCCTTTGTCCCCCCGACAGAGTACTGGAACGGCTGGGCATGTTTCATCGTCTCCATCCTCATGATTGGCATACTGACGGCTTTCATTGGAGACCTCGCTTCCCACTTCGGCTGCACCATCGGCCTGAAGGATTCCGTGACTGCGGTGGTGTTTGTCGCGCTTGGAACCTCAGTGCCAGGTAGGGAATACATGCCTATGTGATTGCCTCAGAAATGGAAACCCTTTCACCTTCTTGACCTTTTTGTTCCTGCGGTTTCAAGGGCTGTGCTAACAAACCCAGCCGATGAAAGACAAAAGCCCAAAGCTATGCATGATGTCACTGCCAGCACATTGTCATGGCATTTCTCAAGGTTAGAAAGCTGGTCAGTGTCATCATGCTGACAGTGTACCATTCCCAGAGGGCCTGCCTGCCTGTCCAGAGAGAGCAGACTGATTTGATGGCTAGATTGATAGGTCAGCTTCCTATTACAATTAGAACTTTTAAAAACACAGCTGCAGAATCATCTTTAAGAACAAAATTTCTGTCTTCTATGTATTTAGTCAAGTTTGGATGAAGCACTCACTGTATTTGTTGGGTGGTTTAGTCACTAAATCACGTCTGACTCTTCTGAACAGATGAACTGTAGGCTGCTAGGCCTCTTTGTCCATGGGATTCTCCAGGCAAGAACACTGGAGTGGGTTGCCATTTCCTTCTCCAGGGGATCTTCCCAACCCAGGAACCAAACCCAGGTCTCCCACATTGCAGGCAAATTCTTTACCAACTGAGCTGTGAAGATAAACATTTAAGACCTGATACGATGTTCTCTTGACCCAAATATTAATGGGAGTAAATAAAAAATTCACATTAACCAGAACAAGGAAGAAGTCATCCTGACCAAAGTGAGCAGACCAAGTGGACATCCCTTCATGCATTCCTAAAGCTGAACTTTTCTTCCAACCTATAGCTATAGCTCATTATGTATACTCACTCTTCTGAGTAAGATAGCCTTCTCCTCAACATTACTTTGAGAGCAGTAATTTTCAAACTTTGTTGGGCATCAGAATTACCTCAGAGCTTATTTAAAAAATGCAAGTGCCTGAGAGCCATGGAATCGGAAGGTCTAAAGAAGGGCCCAAAATGTGTGTTAAGCTCCCAGGTGATTCACAGGTATATATCAACACATCAGAGTTTATTATAACTCAGGTTCTGGACCCACTCTCCAGCACTGGTTGACATCTTGACAAAGTTACAGCCTCAGCTGAGAGTAACAAGACTTGTGTCTCTATCGACAGAAAGTCAGTGACAAGAGTTGCAGTGGACTTGGGAAAAGGCAGGACTTGCGGGGAGATATAGCTCTTCCCTTCCCACCTTCCGCACTTGCCAGAGCCTTGATAAAAATGCTGTGACTTCTACTAACACTTGACACAGTTGGCAACCTGACTTTTGGTTTTTGAGACTGAAAACAAGCACAGTTGAACCATGATTTCTTGATCGAGATCATTAGTTGTTCCTCTCAGGTATTTATTATCTCTGTGACTATGGATAGATTACTTCTCTGAGCCTCGGTTTCTTCATTTATGAACTAGGGACAACCATACTTAACTTGCAGAATGAGGGTAAGGATTGGGAAAATGGCTATAAATTATACAGCTAGTAAAGCGTCTGGGACATAGAAGGAATTCCATAAAAAAGCAGCTTTGGTGACTATAGTGTTGAATGGCTAAAGATGATCTGATAAGTATGAATCCAGACCCTTCAGCCTTGAGAAACAAGGGATGGATGGAGTGTCCAGATTTACACTGGTCAGCCACAGCACTTGGTGTTGCACAACTGATTGACTGTTTGAAAGTCTTGATCATGCTGGGCTCAGCATGGTTTGGGGGTCCAGTTGAGTTCATGAAGGAGCCAAGCGATTACAAGTGCTCCTCCTCCCTCCTTAGTGAGCAGGGCTGTGCAAATTCTTCCTGTTGATTGCTGATCCTCAGAAGAGAGTAGATTCCCCCTTAAAACCAGCTGTATTCCAACATATCTGTATTTGGTCTTTAATTTTTTCTAAAAATGACCAGAAATGTAGCAAGCAAGAGGAAAAACTAAAAATATTCTTCAGTTGCTTTGTTTAGAGAACATGTACACAACCTCAGGGACTAAGCATTATGGTCAGCCCTAGCTCTGTCTCAGGTTACTATAGGAAAATGTCAGGGGATCTTCTTTCCTTAAGGCTTAAGTCACTATAAACGGTGCCCAAGTCAGTGCACACTCTTGATCGTGGGTTTAACCCTTGAGGAGGATATGTGCAAATTATGGTAATGAAGGCAAAATTAGATCTCATGACAGTTATTCAAAATTAGCCTGAATTCCTGATAAGTCAGCAATAGGGCCTACCAAATGCATCTCTTACTTTAAAAGGGATTGAAAAAAAATGCTTTTCCTACATGAAATCCTTGGGTCTGAAAATGTTTGGGGGTGTTTTTCTTTTTTTCTTCATTCATATCAATATCTCTAAGCTGGCTCCTTTCGCTACATATCAGTCTCCCAGCGTGGCTCTGTATCTCGTATTTGAATGAACCCTTTTGAACATTATCGAAGCTGTATGATTAAAATTTCTTGTGTGACATGGAATGTGGATTACAGTAAACCCTAGTGCTTGAAGTTATTTGTACTGCCACTTAAAAACCAGTGCAGAACACAAGTAGGGGTGTCAAGAGGTGGAAAAGCCTGTGGGATTATACAGCAGAGTCATTAGTTGTCAAAATGGTTTCCCCTGCATTACCATAAATTCTTCCCATTGGGAAGCAGATTTCTTTGCTCTGTTAATGGGAGAATTCATATAACTTGCTGTAATATTAACTGTGCAGTGTACTCCCCAAACAATATATTCACAGGTAATCTTAAATGATCATATCTACATAAACAGACATTCCCTCCCCCCCACCTCAGAAAACTGCAAATTGTTCATTCAACATCTTGTTCAATATTTCTGACTTCCTCCTTCAATCCTGATGATTCGGAGCAGTGCTTCATTATATCTCTTGACTTCTTAGAGGGAAAAAAATGCTATTCTTCCCAAATGACAAAGCCCAGTTGCTATGGTCAGAAGAATAAAGAAAACTGATTCTTTTCACTTACAGCCTACCATTCGTTGGTCCTAGAGCCCAGCTCTTTCTCTAGGCTGACATCTTACCAGTTTTCCTAAGGTAGAAAGGCTCCTGGCTAGTGTTTGATAAACTGCTGCCTCCTCTGATGTGAGACTGAGATTCTTAGATTGTGATGGTATTTGGGCATTGAAAAGCTTTGCTACTAGTGCTCCTGACTCAGGGTGGAATTAAATATCTATGTATCTCATTAATGGTATGTTCTTACCATATTCAAAATCTTGGAAAAAAGAGCTTATGACTTTGCAGATGAGACAGAGCTTCTTCATGCCAACTGGTAGTGAGATTTTATTATTAACCTACCAGCAGAGAAGGACTCCTGACAGCCCTCAGGTGTGCCTTTATAAACTTAAAGACCCATACATAGAGGAAGAGTCTTTTCTCCCGACTCACCCTTCCACAGAGCTGCCTTTCTGGAAAAGAAGGGGGCTTCCAAAACAGTGTGTTCCCACCTCCTCATGTTGGCGTGAACCAGAGACTGGTCTCCAGCCCTCTTCTTGGTCCATGGTCACTCCCTGGGCCATTGTCCCAGTCTCCAAGTCTTAATTACCATTGACACACCAGTGAGTACCAAGTGTACATCCCCAACTTCAACTTATCCCTGAGTTCTGGATTCGAATACCAACTGCTTTCATATATCCATACTGGATGTGAAATTCACATCTGAAAAGCACCATATACCAAATAGAACTGTTGCTTTCTACTGCCCAGATGCTTTATCTTTCACCCAAACCTGTTCTTTCTAGATCTTGCCTTTCCCTGGAAAATAGTATCATCTGCCCAGGTGTTCCTGACTCCTTTGTCCTCATCCCCAGTGAATTGATTCGTAACTCCTGTAGATCTTTCCTCTACCATCTATATTGATCAGACCCACTTAACTGTCTCTCCCATAGTCATGCTAGTCTAGGCAACTGTTTTTCCTCACTCTAACCCCCAGAGTAGCCTCCTGTCTCCATGCTTCTCCTAGAGATGACTTTAAGATGTAAATCAGATCACATTTCTCCTTAAAATGTCAGTCTTTCTCTTTCACTTAGGATAAACTTCAAAAGCATCACTCTGGCTTACAAAGACCATATGATTTGGTCCCTGCCTGTCTCTCCTGTTTACCTCCTTGCCCACTGTTTTTCAGCCTTCTCTGGTGGCTCAGTTGGTAAAGAATCCACCTGCAATACAGGAGACCCAGGTTAGTTCCCTGGGTGGGGAAGATACCCTGGAGAAGGAAATGGCAACCCACTCCATTACTCTTGCCTGGAAAATCCCATGGACAGAGGAGCCTCGTAGGCTACAGTCCATGGGGTTGCAAAGAGTTGCACATGACTGAACATGGTCTTTTTACTGTCTTTCATGCGCCAAGTACATTCCTTTCTCATGGTTTCACTAGCTCTCTAAAATGCTCTTCCCCTTCATTTGCACAAGATGGCTGTCTTCAGTTATATCTCATCCTAAATGTCACCTCTTCAAAGAGACCTTCCCTGACCATACCATATGAAGTAGTCACCCAGTTTTCCTGTGTTATATCACCCTCTTTGATATTGAGTGTTCATAACTTTCTGGATTTTTTTAGTCTGCTTTTGAATATTATCTTTGGCCTACTTTCCCCACTGAAATGTTTCATAGGAGCAGAAACCTTGCTTTTTTTTTTCTATTACATCCCTGGCTCCTAGAATGGTTCCTAGTTAGCATATAAATAATGCAATTAGGTGTGTGTATATGTTTGTGTATGTGTGCTGTATATATAAATTAATGAACTATCATTTACACGTGAGTATGAATTGGTCTGTCAGATTGCTTTCTTCATAACACCTTGTAGAGACAGCTAAGAATTAAAGTCAAGGGAGCTGAATAGCTATTTCTATAGTGTAGCTTATTTTTGAAGAATAGGATATATCTGAGTAGGTTGTTGTAATAAGAAGGGGCTAAGGTAAATTTCAAAGCACTAAGCGTATCAGAATGGAAACAATGTTTTCTCATTCATAGTTGTGACTATGGTGGGAACTGTGAGGAGCAAGATATTATCTCTTCATTCTTTTCCCTCCTATAATCTCT